TATGACCTCATCCTTGGTCATATGACCTGATCACCTGACTAGGCTGAGTAAGCAAGATGTTCTAGCAGGTTCCACCACAGAGGTATAAATATAAGGCCTACTCTGCCTGGGACTGTCTCTTCAGACTTGGTCTCTTAGGATCATCCACAGGTACCTATACTGTAGATAGGTCTTAGTCATCAGGTCTACTCCACTTCCTTGTTGCCTGCTTAGACTCTTGGCACTCTTAGGTGAGCAGACTTAGTCAGCCTGTGTTGCCCTAACAGGCTCCTTCATGTGACATAATTCCTGAGTGCTCTTTCTACCTTGTTTGCACCAAATGTACATATCCAGTTTAACAATTGTAATTGCTCATTTGATCAGTCAGAAAAATCATCACCCATTAGCCCTAAAAGATATTGACAATGTGGGGAATACAGATGGTTGTTAGGTATGTCTTGATGTTATGAGTCCTTGCAATGTAGTCATACACCAGATCATCATATACAGAGTTGAGACAATTGAGAGACTGGACAAATGAAGCGAGCACACAACTTCCACAACAACTCCATTGACCCATCTACCTGCTTGCCTATCCTCCCTCCACTGTCCCCAGTCTGTCTTTCCACTTTGTACTCTCGTTCTTCTGAGCCTTGAGCTCATGATGGAGAATCAGAATCAGGTTGGTCTTACTGGATCCATCCATCTACCTGCTCCCCTCTCCACCCTTCTCTGCCTTCAGAGCATCTTTCAACTTGGAATTCTCTTTTTTCAGAGCCTTCAGTTCACAATTGAGAATGAGAATCAGGCTGGTCTTGGTGATAGAGTCATCCTCAGCCTGAGTCAAACATGCTTCCAGCTCTTTGTATGATGTCTGTGATTTGATGAAGGGGTTCTTGAACTCAACTGGCTCAGCTTTCACAGTGACCTGAATAATTATGTCAGCTATAGAAATTGTGATAAGCTCATGCTGTGTACCATGTCATCGTCAACTGTCAGATTGATTGGGTCTGTTTTTGTCTTCTTAGCAGGACACCAAAGATCAGGATAGACAGCCACCTGACACTTGCTGCCAGCAGGAGTACTAGTGTGAGGCGCAATAGAGGTCAAGCTACCTGCCCAATGTGAGACTGGAATGCAAGCATGACTCTGGCTGCCAAGCATGGGCATCTGGTTAGAAGGCACATTGGTCTCATGTGGAGTCTGTGGGCCTTCTGGATGATCAATGGAACAATTGACTGGTGCTGTTGCAATAGCTGAGACAGATCATTTACTGATATTCTGGTTGCCAGAGATGCCAGGATGGTCACCAGTCTGGGACATGATGGTCTGAGATGAAGGAGTGCAGAGAGCAGGCAACTAGTTGCCAAAAAAAAGAAGGACAAGGGCTTGATGGGACACATTGACAGAAGCAAGAAGTTGCATGACTGGGCCTTCATGCAACAGTGATGCATTCAGGGGTCTGTCGTCTCTCTCATTCTGCCCACCATCTCTCTGGACAATATGTCTATCCTCAAGACAGATGGAATGGCAGCTCTCATAAACGGATTTGGCACTACTAGCACCTTCCAAGATATGGTTCTTCAGGTGATTGACATATATCCTGCTTTGCTTGACAGCCATCCCAAATTTGGGTATGTTGTTGTTGTTGATCCATGCAACAACTTAAAGTGAGCTGACTGGCTCTTCTGCAGGGCAGCACTATTCAATGGTGCTCATCAAGTCCTCGTTATGCTGTCTCCTGATATGAATTCATACTTTACCCATGAAGTTGTCAAGAGGGGCTTGTATTTGAAGGTTGATCACATGTTGAGGAACATGATGGGGGGTTATTGGTGTGCATATAATCAGCTTTGGTGACAATCATTTCTCATGCTCGCTCAGTGTTATTACTGTTACTGCCGCTGTGCCCTACTCTGAGCTGACAGAGATCATTGGTGACCCAAAAGAGATAAGTCTTCAGCTCAAAGCGGTTGTATCTGCCCTGCTGTCAATTGAAGAATGTGAGGAAGTGACTGCCGATCCCTCTGCCTCAAGTATCTCAAGGTGCAGGGCTTCCACCCCCTTCCTCAATTGTACTTTCACACACAACCCATCAGAATCTGCCTGTCAAAATCTCCAAGATGAGAACACTTCGACCAATTGCCCTAGTGATGTTCATGCACCTCTCAAACCTCCCCCTGCTCAAGCAGGACTGATGGATGAAGAGACCTTTGGCCATAAAGGCAAAGGGAAAGAAAAGCCTGAGACAGGCCCTCATCACCTGGGCTGGTCTGGCATTGGACCAGCAAAGACTCTCCTCCTATCTTTGTTTGGTAGTTCAGTCAAGCAAAACATGACTGGTGGGACATTGTCCTTGTCCACAGGTGGAGGTCTTTCAAGCAAGCTGGCAGTCACCAGAGGATCATCTGCCTTGATGCAAGCTGGATCATCAAGCAAAAAATTGGTGAACAACAGATCTACAAGCCAGTGAGGTTTAATCAGAGCAATATTTTGAACTCCTCACATGGATCCAGTTATTCCCTTCTCTGCACTGAACACTAACATGATGACTCAATGGACTGTCTATGGCTTGATTATGGACATGTTCAGGCCTCAGATCATACCAGCCAAAAACCCCACTGGTGAGGCAATGCTATTTACTGCTATGCTGATTGATACCTTCAGGGTGAGTTGCCAGTGTCAGTCATCAAATATGACCTGACTATATGCTCATATATAGACCCTTCTTTGTGTCAGCATCTTTGATGAAAAAGCCTCTGCCTGTTTTCAATTGGCAGGGATCAGCAAAGTCAGTTGTGCAGTCTGTCACCTTCCTAATAATGATTGGCTGACAACAGGATAGATGGTTGCCATCACAAATGCTCGCATGAGTCCAAATAAAGTGAATCCCCATTTCACACTGGAGAATATGCACAGCTGGCAGTTGACCATCACTGATGACACATGGTGTTGTTCCCCCTGCATGTATGTCTGACAGTTTTGCATGTTGGATTGAACAGGAGCTAACTGGGATGAAGAACATCTACATTCCCCAGATTGTCCTTGACATCATGCCTCTTTCCTTCCTTGCTGCTCTTGAAGATAAATTGAAAGTGAACATTTTGGGCATCATTCTTCAAGTTGGCAAGCTTGTCACCAAGCTGATTGTGATGAGTTCTGAGTCTTCTACCCTTGATGGCTCAACCTGACAAGTGTCGACCAAGCGAAAGTCTTGTATGCTGTGTGAAGTCCAAGTGGCAGACAAAGAAGGGCATGTTGTACATGTCATGATGTGGAATGCTTGAGTGAAGGTCTTTGGTGGAAAGCATGGTCAGGTTTTGCACATCATGAACACCATGATTGAGCACCATGGAGGGGTGACCTTGAATTCCACCAAGAAGACCAATTCCCTCTGAACCCAAAGGTGGAAGGGGCTGATGATTTGAAGCAGTGGTATCTCAAGTCCCTCCCTCTTTCAGCACCACCTGACTTCTGCACAGGTTTACTGATGACTTCAATGAGGCTATGCTTCAGCATATATCTTGTGGTTATTCTGAGGAAGGCAGACTGACTTTGACCACACTGGAGGAGCTCCCAAAGGTCTTGACAAAAGCTGAAGTCTGCACATTGAGGCTGGGTCATGGAGGCCACATCAACTACTTCAATATGGTCAAAAACATCAGCAGGTTCCAGGAAGGTATCACATATCAATCTTGCGGGTTTCAGGGGTGTTGAGAGAGTCTGGAGGAGCACAAGGGCAATTGCCCCATCAAGGAACACTCCCCACAACCTGGCAAGAAACAGTATAAGTAAGCTGCCTGTTCAACTTGTCATTCAATTGCTGAATTGCTGCTCTAGGTACAAGATAGGCTTCACAATTGGCAAAGAGGACAACAAGGTCATGCTTCTGACCATGTTCTCTCCTGCTGGTATGATGATTATAGGTGCACTGGCTGCTGAGATGTACAAGCTGGAAGTACATAGACCTTCCAGCAGGCTACTCCCACTGACCAGTATATGAAGAAGTTGAAGGAGATCATCATGTCAGGTGCTTTCTACAGGTTGTTAGTTTGAGCAAGCACTTGTCATTGAAGGGTAAGTCAAGTGTTCCCTGCCTAACTTTGGGTGTGAGTGCTGACAAGGAACAGGATGTCAATAATTGGGAGCACTGCAAGCTGCAGTATCATGTCATGTTGGCTTGGCCGGCTTGGGACACTGGCACTTCAGAGGAGGTGGATACATTGGGGGTTGGTGTTGATGAGCTGGCTGATGTCAACAACATGAATGAGCATGCTGGCTGGCTGCCACTTGATGTCTGAAAGTCATGAAGATCAACTGCTCTTTTCATTGTTTCTCATATAAATTCACAAGCTTCCAATAATTGGTTATGTAACAGTACAGATATCATGGGAGAACATTAATGATATGGTGTTCTGTAGGTCACGTGTTTGGGATAATTGGGGATAATCTGGGATTTATCCCATAAGCATTGGTCTCAGACTGACCTCAGATTATCTCAAGCAATGCACTCAGAGTGACTGGGATTATCCCAATCGACTGAAGTGGCTGAGTACTCAAATCTATGGAAAGCAGTCAGGGGACACACATTTCTTATCCTGCAAATGGATGTGAATTGCCTCAAGAACACTCAATACTGCACACACCCTCAATTTGACCCCAGAAATGCACCTGAACATGGGGCTACAAAGTCACTGGAACCTACTTCCATATTTGGTGACTCACATGGATAGATGTGATGCAGGGTACATATAAGTGCAATTGGGGTTTCCTGGTATGCTGGAAGGAATACCATATGAGGTGTAGGAGTGTAGCAAGTGTGTAGGAATGAGTGTATCCCAATATGGGAGAGTCAATGTCAGAACCCTAATGGGTTGCTGACTAAGCAAGGCTGAGACATTGCACTTGCTCTCTATTCCAAAGCCAGGCAAATCCCATCCTCAGTACAGATATAGTAGAATGGTGGCCAAACAGGATATAATGATTACTGACAGCTGAGACTCATGCATATAGCATGTGTCAGGGAATGCATTGTTTTGGGGTCTTGTACCCCTTATCACATGTTCTATCCCTGCTTCTCCTCACTTCCAGGCCTTCTGAAAGTGATCCATGAGGGCTATGCAGGGTTGCATGATGGGTTGTGGCATGGGTGCTGTGTGGATTTCCACCATGTGCAGCTTTGTGGCTATGAGGGCAATACAATCCAATGTATGTTGTCAATCGAATAACTGAACAGGCAACAAGTGAATCATAGAGAATCAAGTGGTGCAATAATCAAATATTCCTACATCTTGTTGTAGGCACTCTGTGGGTTGGTAGGGACATCTGTGTTAATGATGGGTTAGTTGTCATTTGGATGATGGTATGCACAATCAAATGACAGAAATTTTGAAAATGTAAGGAATTAAGCCTAATGACTTGGACCATGAGGTTTCCTAAGAGATTAGCTCTAAAGAGTTACAGGGGTTATACCTAGGGCTCTATATATGTCTAGGTATGGAAGTAAAAGGAAGCAAAGGCTGTGGCTGACTATACAGCTTGCTTAGGGCAGGCACCTTATGTCTCTTGTCTGGTTGGTCCTACCTGATCCATGACTGACATCTCATGTTCTGGGATCTGTCCTTTTTGGATTCAGGTGATTATAGCATTGGCTGTCATTTGGGGTGTCATGCCATGTGACTGTGCTCTGATTGTTGTCAATTGCAGCTGTCTGCAATTGATTTTAGGGATGTCCCCTGACAAATCCCATGTGGTGTTAGGGTTTGGGTTAAGGTTTAAAGCATTCCGAGTGCTAAGTGGAAGATTCTGTGTGCTAAGTGGAGAATTCTGTGTGCTAGGAAAAGAAATTCTAAGTGCTGAGTGGAGAATTCTGCATGCTAGAAAGAGGTTTCCATGTCAAGATGTGCCCTGACACTCATCCTCCAGAGTGCACAATCTGAAACAAGTGTGGTGACCAGGCAAAAAGTGTGCAGCACCAGGCCCTGGTGACAGGTGACACTGCACACCTATGCATCCCAGTACAGTACACTACTCCCTCCCTACAACACCCTCCTTGCCCCCCATCTGTTGCTTCTAGCCCCCACAGTAGCCTTGTTAGTGTGGTGTGCCCTCACTGGAAGTAACTGTCAGGGTATGACTCCAACAAACTCTGATGTCAGCCTGCAAGCAGCTTGATTTTGGGATAGTCAGTCTGGTCAATAAAGATATTGGGATAATGGGGCAATGTCAGGCCAATATTGAGAGACTTTGCCCATGATTGGGAGACCTTTGGTCACAAGGTCTCCCCTGAGGTAAGATGGACAAGTATAGTTTCTCAGCCACAGTTAATTGCCCTTTTGTTTCCTCTGGTATGTATATGTAGGCACCAGTCTGAGGGCACAGAAGCCTCAGATTTGGTCTTTCAGGAAGCCTGGCAAGCCCACCATCTAGTATGACCCAAAACACTGATCTCCCTCAAAGCAGGTGAACTGTCCACAATCATGTCAATTGACCTCAGGTAGTAAGACTGAGGTACTTGATAACCTGGTGACACACCCTGACTCTTCATTATACCCTCCAAAGGCTGGTGCTCCAGCTGAGACTGTCAACTTCTGGATGACTGGTGCTGATATATCCAAAGTCTCTGCCAATAGGCCACTCTCCTAGAGCCTAGAGGTCTGACCTGTGCTTGATCTCTATGAAAGCTCATGAGGTGGGCCTGACACCCCTTCTCAGCAAGATTTGAGTCTACAAGTGACCAAACCCCTGACTACACCCTCAATGGCTCACCCTGACTACCTGATATCCATACTGACTCTGCTGGCCTTGCAATATGCTACCCAAGTCCAGGTGACAGGCAACTCTGGACTACTCCCTATCTGACATCCCCTCATTTCTACTTGATTAGTAGATAGTCACCATTGAGATCCCATACCCTCCCACCAATACCTGTGCAATACTGTCAGGGTACACCCAGTACAGCATATATAGCAACCTGTGACCAATATCACTTAACCATGATATTGAGGCTCTTTTGGCCTAGTGGTAGTATTTGCAGGTGTTACCCTGACAAATACCTCCACCAACTCCCAAAGGCATGTTTTTGCCATAGAATGTCCCATGTGTGGCTGTGCAAAAACGGAGGCAATGCCTGTGAACTACTCAACTCCGCACTATCAGCTTTCCATACGAATCCTCCCTATAGACATTCAGAGGCAGTTTGGACTTTCGAACTAACTACCTAATCTATTCCTAATCTATATTACATAAGGCTATGGATAGGTCCATTCTTCCTTCCCCTGTCTTGTCATAGTCCTTTCGGACCTCATTTGGAGTGTTGTTTGGAGTGTTGTTTGGCGTGTTGTTTGGCATGTTGTTTGAAGTGTTGTTTGGAGTGTTGTTTGGAGTGCCATTCCAATGTCGAATCCAGCTTCGAAATTAGAATGTGCAGCACACAAAACAGAAGTGTGTTATTATGTAAAAGTCCGTGTCATTAAGGCGCAGTCTTCCAGGATGTTGTCAGGTGGTGCCATCATTAGTGCCGTCATACCGTAGTCCTCTAGAGCCTGCTGCAAGGTGGCGGAATTAGTCGTTTCGGCTCGTGAGTGACCATCGCCATCTGAATTAGTGCGGCCAATACTCGCAGACGACCGGTTGGATTGGCGAGCAAGGACAACAGAATAAATTGTACCCAGTGCCTCTAGAATGGATCGATTGTTGGACGTTGAAAATACGTCAGTGGTTTTCTCCAATTGGTCGAAGCTAGGTCATGATGCGTCAGAATCTTGTTGCATGGTATGAAGGTGACATACATTTGTTCAACCACCTTGGGGAACTCCTGGGATATATCGGCCAACATGTGACAGAGAATTTCTCTTTCAGAATCAGACCGAGCGCCCTTTAAAAGTGACAGAATGAAGGCGGCTGTAACCAGTGCTGTATCATGATCTTGAATACCGAGCAGGCCGAAGGACAATATCGGAGTAGCCGTGAAGTCTATGACAGGCTCGGATAGGCTCGGAGGATACCAAGCTTCACCAACTCGGGCGGTGCGGAGAAGTTGCAACATCGATTGCGGAGCAGTCGAAACCGTGGCCAACGCCAAAAAGTACCCGGCGGAATCAGGATTGAGATGAGATTCGGGCTGCAGATCTCTGTCGGTGTTCCGTGTAGCCATGAGGAGAGAGAAGAGCAAAGTCCTCGCCGCTTCTTGGGTATCTGGATTGCGGAGGGCATACATGGTGCAGTGCGCCAGGCAAATGGAGAAATAATTCTGGAACTGGAGACCAATGTTGCTTTCCAGTTTGTACCAATCGTAGTTCAACACTTTACGAGCATCTAATAAGAGCTCGGAAAGAGGCGTCGCTTCCAAATAACGACGCCGCTGGAATATGTCAAGAATTCCACGCATAAGCCCTACCAGTGGACGATACAGAGTTTTGACATCGGCCTGCATGAGCATTACTGCCAGCCAAAACAGATTTGCGGGATATCTTGACTCTTCAGGAAGGGCGGGAAGAACACGGCAAAGGCAGTCGATGATGCTTGCGAGGCATTTGTTCTTTCCTTCTGTTACGGGCTTGGTTATGATAACATCGAGAGCGTTCAAAAACTATCAAAGTGGTGAGTAGGGAGCCGTACGAAGCCCCATTATACATACCTGATGAACCAGATCGTTGTCAATGTATGGTCCGGGCACAGACACACAGGTGAGCACGATGCCAAGGATATAGTAGGAACGTGTCTGCACATATGGTGGCGAACGAAGCGCCGTACCGACCACGAGCGATGTCCATCGGGCACGCCATGCGTTCGCCTGACCTAATCAAATGAGTCAGGATGATCCAGATAAGGTCAACGAGATACACACTAGGAGATCGAGCTCCAGCCTCTGCGGCATCCAGCAAGAGACTAGTGATGCGTCTCATGGCATCTACAGGAAGTTGACCCGTACCCACTCTGACCTCCGCATTTTCCAGACCCGCAAATTTTGTCTGCACGAGGCCAAAGTCACGCAAGCAATCCGCTGATCGCAACAGGTCAAGCTGTGGTTCCAGACCCGAAGTGTCCACGCGCAATTCCTGCTTGAGATTGTATAATGCTTGAACTAAGTTCAGAGCGATACCATGAACAGAGATACGCATTTTATCAGGACCCGTCCCTGCGAGGATAGTGATGAAGTGTGAAAGTTCAGGGAAGTAGCCCACAATTTGCGTGGGGTTCTCACTCTCGGAGGTGAGGACAAGCACCAGGCGAGTGAGAATAGCGACTTCGTTCCACAGTGCATTATCAGTGAATGGGGCTGATGATCGAAATGTTACTCTGGTTAATAGCTACACAAAGGTTAGACCCCATTGTAGCACTGAGTGTTGCGCAACTCATACCTTCTGCAACTTTGCTATCGTCTTTCCTCGGGCATACGTTGAGGATAAAAGAACAAGTGTGTCCGCGAGGATATCCATTCTGAGACTGGGTGAACAAAGGGCTGCAGGGGTGGGTGTAATCACGCTCACTTCCGAGTACCAGCCAGTCCATCGACAACTGCTTTCACCACCTCGTCCACCGCAAGTCTTGCCAAGCTCTCTGATCGAGCAATGATGGACCAAATATGCCCTTGCATGGCTCCGTACACGGACTCGTAGTTGACGGTCAGCGCGATGAAATGGCCAATGCATTCTCGTAAACGCATGCTCAGCGAATCTCGGCCAGAGAAAGTATGTTGGCGTGCAGACTCCATAGCGAGGTTTTTAATGAACGGTCGCAGGTATTTCAAACAAGATATTTTCTCGACGTTGTTCAGTCGGCCGAAACTGTTGTTGAATTCTTTCAAAAAGTCGACAGCAATATGTGGCAACTTTTTAACCACGAGATCTGCGTACGAGAGAGCGGTCGCAAATGGATTTGCCGGCACGAAATAGCCTGCGAAGCCGTTTAATTTTCACTTTCCGATTAGTTAGGTACGTACTGATGGGCAGGGTATCCAGATTAAATCCCATACGGCTCACAGTGGAGCGGAGAAGACCAAGTGCAGCCAGACGTACAGAATCGTCTTTGTGACAAAGATTGACGAGTGCGACGTTCAATACAGCTGTGCCGGCATTTGAACGCCAATCGGGAGCTGTATCTTTGGCTTTGTATCCCGGAACACCTTGCTTGGCCTTTCGAATCGCCTTAACATCTTGTCAACACGTGTATGAAGAAGGGGTTTGATGAAGGACGCTTGCCCTCATAATTGCGTCACCATCTCGGGAAGAAAATTGTAATGCTTCGCCTTTCGTGCGAACGACTGTGAACACCCACTCGTCTTGCACAACCTGAGACTGAACTACATCCTCAATTTCTGCAAGGGGTAAGACCTCTACCAGACGAGCTTGAAATCCTGGAAATATTGGCTGAGCTTTGATGGTCTCGACATAAAACCTCGAGGTCGAGATGCTGATGGTACACGAATGACGTGTGTGGAAAAGAACCCAAAGGTCTACATCGGTGAACTCCAATGCCGAACTGAGATCAAGTTCTACAGCCGTGTTCAATAATCGAGATGTGAATGTCCTTGATAGGCATACCCATATCATGAAGAAACGAAGAGGCAGGAAACGTCCTCCGTAGGTCATGTACGGACATTGATGTGAATCGCAGTCGATCAAGACCAAGCCCTGCCAGGAGTCAGGGGCGCTCAGGGCATCCGCTAGTAGAACGAACCTGAAAATTCATAATATATCTTCCGCAGAAAAGCTTGCGCAACTCGATTTATGTTGATGAAGTCTACCGAACGACATCGTTGTATGACCTCGATCGGAATAAGATCAACGAAGTGCTTGATCCAACGTGATGGAATGATGGATGAATCAGTGAACGAGGTCATGTCTAGGACAAGAGAAAAATCTTCGTCGTCCTGAAGGAGTTCCTGGAAAAAATAAGAACACTGTACATGTGGGATAGAAGCAGCTCACTCGAAGAATGAGGTTGATCAACGCATCATACTCGACGACATCCGCCTGGATTTTACCCACCTGGCACAAGAAAGTTGAAGTCTTATTTGTCAAGTTAGTTATGACTTCTAACTTTACAGATGAAGGACACACATCAGGTTGCATGTGCACAAATATGTGCGCCACATGGTCGAGGTTGGCTCGCGCATACCGACGGAGGAAGCCTTGCAGTGGAGCATGTTCAGCGTAAGGAGTAGAGATGGGAGCGAGCGTTTCTGGTACGTTTTCCACCTCCAAGAACTTATCCACTAGCAGGTTCCATAATCTCTTCCCTTCGGTGAGATACAGTTGCTGCTGTTGAGGTGTAGAGGCTTGCACGTGCATTGTCAGAAGCTGCTGACCAATCGCTGTTAAGTTGCGATGAAAGAATCTATGCAGGATCAAGATATCCGTTTCATCGGCATACCGGGCAGGTATCTCGCTCCAATTCACAGGTCTTTGTCTGGGATCTGATGAGACATCGCGAATAAACTTCGAGACATATTCGATCATGTCAACCATGTAATCGTTGAGGGCATCCATCTGAGAACCTTCCTGCCGGAACCGGGCGTTGTTGGCTACACGCTGTATAATGTTCGGGATCAAGACCAAGACCCTCTGATTCCTTGTGGTCATATCGATCTCGATCCCTACCGTGCTTGGTTGCGATATTGCAGGGTTGATACAGCGAAGAAAGATGAAGCCAGCCACTGAGGCGTAAACATTGTTTGGAGAATTTTTTGCACTGCTTTTGTTTAGTTGTCGCCCATCCCGCTCACAGAAAGACCTACGCGATTGATGTGATGTGATGACACATTTCCCGAATAACACTAAATGAAAATCAGCATTTACACTTAGAGCTTGAAGGAGAAGTTCGCACTTCGGTACTCGTGAGGAGGCAGCTTCCAGGGTAGCAAGGAATACAGTTGTAATCTTCATGAGAGTTTTCGCATTCTCATTCATATCTTCTGTTTCAACCGTCTTATAACGATCAATCTCAAATCTTAAGTCCGGTGGTATTTCCTCGATTCTCTTGATGAGAGGGGTGAGCACGCGGCGAAGATATGGTGAGCTCTGATCTCTTGCAATCCTAGACAATAAACGGTTTCGCAGTGAATTGCTTCGGAAAACTTCAGCTTCGGGAGCTACAGTCTCATTAGAACCATTGCAAGAGGCCTATATGAACATAACTTCACTGGAAAGTAGTTCCTGCTCAATGAGAACTTTGGCCAGGGCTATCAAGCTCTCTTCTTGGTCGAAGATATGTAAAAGAACTGATTCTAGATCTTCGATGGCGCCGTTTGGGGTTGCTATTTCGCAAAGAGCTTGAACCCCAAGAAGCTATTTCAAATCAGCAAATGAACTGTCATAGCGAGAAATATACTGTGATACATTTGGGTCACGGAGAAACTTATGAATAATCAGCAATTTGTTGCAGACGAGTGTGGACCCGTACCTCAATCAGAACATTAGATGTGATCGTCGGTGGGAGCTCTTCCGACATTTGGAAAGTTGTACCTCTGTCCAGGGCTTCTTTGAAGATCTGTAGAAACGCACCCCGAATTCTAGAATCTACATGAAACGTCATGCCAAAGCAATGTTTGAACCCAGCTTGATGATTGACGAAAAGAAGATTGGCGAGACCGGAAAACGCTTTCTCTCTCAGAGCCTTCATATCTCTTTCTACTGCAATTGTCTACGACATTTGTCAGCCGGAAGTGTTCATTAAGACGACCACATGTCATACCTTCATATCGGTTGGGGCGACCAGTCCTATAAGCTCCACGGGCTGGCGAACGTCCAGGGAAGACACATTCCTAGGGACGTCTACGGACGCCAGCGTACGGGTGACTAGACCCATGAAGAACCTGAAATAATGATAGAATAGCCGGGACTGTTCCTGGACCCTGGATCCATCCCCTTCTGACTCTAGCACAAGGCCATCGGTAAGAATTACGATAGCTTTGAGGATAGCGTTCTCGGCGTCCTTAGCAAGACCTATGGGTACATTGTTCGGCACGCGCCCCTGAAACAGTTGTCAGAGGTTGTCACAAAAGGGACAGCATGAGGTATCTCACCGGTTGTAGATCAGTTACCCACTCGCTGAATGTGTACAAGCAAGTCTGGCGCAAATGGAAATCCTCAGCCACAGAGAGGTCCTCACAAGACAACGCGGCATCCACTAGTGAGGCAAACTGGAGTTTCCCTCTTAGAGTTTCCTCAGGTTCGCCCTCGTATGTGCTAATGAAACCGTGAAATAGGGCAAGCATGCGGCTGAAGTCGACTCGTATTGTGGATAGTTGAATCCCATCGGGGTTAACAAGGATCTTGGTCAACACTGTGGACACTTGAACCATCATGAAAAGCATGGCTTCGTCCCAGTCTGCGGCGATGGGAGCGGGGCGCTCGAAGTTCGCTATGCACAACCTAAGAGCACAAGTGAATTCGATAAAAGATCATCGCGTGCAATTGACTAACCGCTCAAGATGCATCAAAAGTTGTGGAAAGCATCGTGGATCAAGATCTGATCCCAACGCATCTCGGACGGTGTTACTGGCAAAGGGAGTCCCTCTCAACAGGATCTCACATGAAGATGCCAAAAAGGATGAAAGCATTTGCTCTGGGGTTTTACTCTGCAGGAATTGTTCCGGAAGCTCTTCACGAGGGATGAAGTCTGCAAGTGACTGCATACTACTAGGAGCGATGCAAGAGCCCGCAAATGTGGTCAGGAAAAGCAGGGTATTCTGCCAATCGAACTGCTCGTCCTGTGCCACCTTTAGCTTGCATTGATATAGTCAACTGAGGTATTCAGGCCTACCCCTGAGGAGTCCCATCTGCTTGGTGGCTTTACGCGTAACTGCGCGTTACTAGCCAGCTCCGTGGAACGAATAACCCCGGGATCGAAAGCATTAAATTTGCGATGATACTCCTGCCAGGTTGCAATATTGACTGGCCAGGGAAAGGCGATTTGACGTAAAATTGTCCTGACCCGCCTTTGTTGATAGGCTCGCCCTCCTTCACGACTTTCAGCGCGCACCCTTGCTAGAACGATGGCATTTCTCACCTATTGCGGAGTCGCCAGGGTCACTCAGTTGCTTGTACGCTGATATTCGTGATACAATGTCCGCCTCATTGAGATACAATGTCGCATCGCTCCGCGACCGTGTCAAGACCTCGCAGTCTGCCAGCAGGCTCAGACAGGAACATGCAGCAGTGCATATATCCATCATCGGAGAAACCAAACTTGCTAGCAGGGCAACTTCGACGAGGTTCAGAGCTAGGAATGTTCTGGGAGTAATTTCGGGCTAATAGAACGATTAGCACGCAGCAAGATGTCCCTTGGAGTGCCTCACAGCATTCAAATTACGGGGCAACTGCGATAACCCTAGGTGAATGGTAGACAGATAGAGGCGCTGATCGTCATAATTGTCTCGAGAGGCCAGGAGACGGTCAGACATGAGGCAGATAACGCTTGAGCTAGTAAACAGCCATAATGAGAGGCGTCCCTCTTCGCGAAATAAGATATACGCACATATTGGCATTTTCTCGATCGTGGAAAACATTCACTCCAGGTGCGACATGCATATTCATGTGAACGCCCAACTCATTCAAGAATCGAGTCACGACTACGCGCATTATATGCTGCGATGTCGTACGTAGTAGCACCTGCGAATCTAGTGTCACTCGTGTACCATTCTCCATAAGCTGTCTAGGATTGTCGCTTGAACCCAGGAAGGCTAGATCAGATCGCCAAAGACCGACGATAGCCAAAAGAAGGGCTTCCTTGTCTTCGAGATCATCAAGATCGGAGGACTTCATTCGTGGGTGGTAATGAACGAAGACACTGGCGTCGTCTTCAGCACCAGGAGGGTTAGCAAGAGCCTGAAATCCACTTTAGCTGCTGCATCTTTGACAAAATGACTCGAGAGCATACATGATATATATCTGGAAGATATTGGCTGGCAAGGTTATGAAGGGGAGAAACTGCGGGCTGGTACGGCAGACGCAATTGCTGAGGTCTCTCGTCAGTATGTGAAAGCATTGAGCACCAAAATAGCGCACCTCCACAGCTACCCGCATTAGTGCCCTAATCCCGATCATCTTCACGGCATATGCTTGCTCAGGCGCAAATAAATTTGGGAAAGCATGCTCCACTGTAAATGACGGGGAGAACCAGAACATAGCAACGATTGCATCTGCATACAAATGCGTGTCGATGGCCTCATATGCATTCCAGAAGGGCTTCGTGGGAGACGGGGGATTGAAAAGCCGGGCACGAAGTTCGTCGGCGAGCTCAGGAGCGAGCTCGTGCAAAGCAGTCACATCGTCACTGGGTGGTAGTTGTATCGCTGCGGCGCAAATGTCGATGTAACAAGCAACAGCAACTTCAGACTGCTGCGTAGGCAGATTGAGTTGTTTTGACAATGTCTCCAATAGGTTCTGTGATGACCACTGTCAATAAACAATTTCGATGAAATGCATTGCCTTACCTTCTTTGACTTTGGTTTATTGTACTGTCCAATCGTTAAGGAACGAAGACGATCTGGGCTGATAGCCAGCAGCATGCTCAGAGCGGGCAAGAAGACCTTCGGATTTAGATGTTCAACATTGAGAAGAGTGTCGAAGACGCGTTCAGGGGCACCGTCCAATCGATAATCGCCCCGAATAAGTGAAGCAAACTCCGCAGGACAAGTATTGATCCACTTCATAATAGCAGCATGAATGGCTGTTGCCATGACAAATTGAGTTGTTTTTCGCATTTGGATCAACAAGGACGCCAGATCTAACGAAACGTCAGTTCAACCCTTGGAACAGCAGCCTCGAGATTCACCATTCAAAATTTGGATCAGCCGACTCTTGTTCAGAGCGCTCAAAGACATGAGCTCGATCTCTGTCATATCGCCCCCCTCTCTCTCACGACCTTCTCCGCTCCCGACATCACGGATCTTGGCTTGAATGCGTTCGTACACAATGCTCCAGTTGGAAGCAGAAAGATGCAAGATGACTTGAGATATATAACCATATATAACAAGCCGGCATCCTTTCGAATTTGTCGCCCAAACAGGAGGAACAGGTGAAAGGAGAACGTGAACAGGAGTCGACAGGGACGGTAGAGAAGTGATTTGAGGTAAAGGGACAGCAGGCCCAGTCACACCACTAGCATGATGTGGTGGGTATCGAAATGATGAGTATGGTGAATTATTTGCAGGAGAATAATCTGCCACTCCAGGCGCTGGTGTGGATGGCGCAGAGCCAAGCGAGGCGGTCGACGGTGTCGATGGCTGATGTTGCATTCGACTAGAAGTAAATGTTGCCGTGGCTAAATGTGCAATATTGGTGGGACGATTGTATTCTATGGGCAAGGTGGAGTTCGCAGACGCCGATACAGTCGAATAAGATCCTGGAGATGACTTCCGCAGATAGGGAAGGAGGGCTAGTAAAACGTATTTGGCAACTTGCTCCGTTAGTTGTGGAGTATCGGACGTGTGAGAGTACGGAGTCGTTGAAGTCGTTGACGAGATATCTCGGAGGGCAGATGTGGGAGACTGAAGAGCTGAGGGAGACCAAGTATAAGTAGCTTGAATAGGGGATGCCGTTGCTGATTGCACGGCTGCCAATGAGTTGCCGGAAGATGACGTCGCCTGGCGAGTGCGTTCACCATCCTCGTCCAAACTTCGTAGTCTGGGTGGAGGACTGTGAACCATTCGCCCCGAATGCAGATCAGCCTGGGAGCTGGCTGTCGATGAGGATGCTTGGCGCATGCGATCTTCCCGGGTGGACCAGTTTGCTCCCCGTGTCGAGCGTGCACCATCGGCGGTGTGTTGCTGCCATTTGTATGCGATAGAAGCAGATAGGACCTTCAGCACAAACAGTTGGGATTGCAAAACTACCAATGGTGGATAACGAGACTCGGGATCACTTGATGAGCCCAACGGTGGGGAGGTACCCTGGAGAATGATAATTAAGCTGCTATCACCCGGAATGGGAGGGGGAGGCGCACCGCGTTCAACTCATCCAACAAGCTCGCCAACGCCCAAGCGACACCGTCTAATCTGAATTTGGCGAGCTGCACAATAGATGCAACTGTCTGACCCAATGCATCGTCCGCTTCTAGCATTGCAAGTGTTCTTTTCGAGTGTATGGGCAACTACCAGTCATGCATCAGGGTGGTGACTGTTCTGCGTAAGGCTGGACATACCTCTCCTTTTAGTCGCATTATGAGCGAAGTGAGCACACGGTCGTGCGGCGTGGAGGACCGGAGAGAGGTGTACGAAATCGCAGGTTTTAGCCATGAGCTGTCGGTACTTTTCGTGTCGGACGTCGAGTTCATCGTGTGGTCGTCAGACGTTGTTGTCGTATGCTGAACGGACTCGCGGTGTGTGTGCTGCTGGTAAGGCGGGCGTCGTCGCATGAAGGGGAGGCCACCTCGAGTGATAGAAAGAGAATGGGACAGCCCGGATCGATGGGCTTCGGGCCTGTTCGAGGACGACGACATCAGGGCGACGACGCTGCTCAGAAGTGGGAGGAAGCCGTTCTGCTTCTCGACACCAATGGTCCCGCCGGCGCGTCCATCGGGGTTCCCGGTCCCTTTTCTTAAGGAATCACACGCGTGGCGCAGAACAGTACTTCTTTAGATTCTAGCGTATCTGCTACAACTTCTATGGTTTCTACGCAACGGACAGCTCGCCAGCACCTAAAAGAGGCGTCTCGCTCTAATGCAAACTATGTGGCCACTCACGCGGTATGCGTGATCGCTGGCATATGGGATCTTGTAATTCATCAGCTGGCGCATCGATATCCTTTCCATCACCATCATCTTCGGCTTCCGATGCAGATACTAGGAGATTTATATAGGCACATTGGGATTACCCATTCTCAAGAAACCCTTAAGATAGATGTCATCTCCATTCCAGTTTTCTTACATCGTAATACACCATGTGCAGGACGTCAACCCGATAATCTGATTCCCGATCTCAGCCCCTGAAGGAGTTCTTCATCTCACGAAGCTTCCTCATCATCGTGACTTTATCGGTCTCGCCCGTGGCCTTCTGAACCTCCGTACTGCCAAGACGCATGAAGACGTTCCATGACTTCTCATCGCCAATCGTCGACTTCCCGCAGGTCATCTCCTGGGTCTTGACGAGGTTGTCTAGCTTTCCAAATGCCGGATTTTCAGGTTCGATCTAGTGCGAAAATCAGCACGGAGATAACCCATGATGAACGATGGCGCACATGCTTGCCAAACTTCATAGACGAATTAGTGTACTCGTGGCCATTGTAGACGATGGTCTGATCCGGCAGGGTTCCCAAGTAGCTCAACGCCTTGTGCATTTCCTCTGCATTGCCCTCAAAGAAGCGACCGCACCCCGCCTGGAAGAGTGTGTCACTAGCATGACGTAAGCGATGTGACATCGGACACCGGACACAAGCAACCTGCACTTACCCCGTGAAGACAAGGCCAGCTTGCTCAGGCTTTGACTTGGACGTAGCATAGTAGCAGATGGAGTCCTGAGTATGACAGGGCGTAGCCAAGCATCTGAAAGAGGGGCGTAAATACGGGTCCAAAACCTCGGGCAAGCGATGCGCACTTGACACTAATATCCTCGCCAACAGAAAACTCATCGCCATCGGCGACCTTCTTCGTCAACGCTGGCACAGCAGTTGAACCGCCAAACACGGGGACACCGGGATACTCGCGGACCTATAGTTAGATGCGATCAGCCCGCGGCTCCCTCTCATGTGGAGGATAGATGACGCACATACTCCAGGTTGCCCCCCGAGTGGTCGTGATGATGGTGAGTGGTCAACACGCTCTCGATTTCAACACCCTCCTTCTGAGCATATCTAGCGACTTTGCTAACATCATAAGGATCCACCACGGCCGCTCTCTTGGTCGCCTCATCAATCAACAGGTAAGCATAATTGTCCGCCTGGTTGGGCACAGGCACGACACGCATTGTTCTGAGAGCTTCGGTAGTAAAAGATCGGTAATTGTCGAGTGACGGATGTGTGAGAGGGACACGGTAGGTCAACGGTAGATGCCCAAGGATGACCGACAGTCGCCGAAGGAACATACGAGGGAGCTTGCTGGCCTGATTGCTGCCTAACAGCAAGCTCACAATGGCCGATTCGGTGGAGGGCACGTAGAGGTAACGTGACATGACGTCGCTCGACCAATGGCCGGCTTCTTAATTCACCCTCTTCGAACGAGACGTAATTGAATATATCTATGTGTGTGTGGAGATTACAAAACTATCCGTAACCTTGATAAATATAAGAGGGTCTATGGTAAAATCTGCTCTGTGTACTCCTATTCTATCTGTCCGTTACAGTCTTAAGCGCTCAAGATTAGGTGGATGTTCAATACCCTCTTCGCCAGGCACAGCACCTCCTCCTAAGCGCGTGGATCCAGAGGAGGTGGGGAGCCTCCGAATACAATATCTGCACCGAAGGCGGTTCACTCTCCCTCGATCAGCCGCTCGGCCAGAAGAAGCATCGTCGCCGAAGTTCAGCACCGATAGCGGCTCTGCAGGAATCCTCGTCGTATGATGGGAACGATTGATGAAGAAGATTATGTACAAAGTACTGTCAGGAATGACTCAACCAGAGCATTGGAGAATGTTGTAATAGAATTTCTGGCTTAGTCAAAGCCGCCCCCACGCATTCGAACTCATCGCCACGGTCACATCACACGTGCTGCTCAGCTCCCCCTACGCAGGGTTCAGCGTCCGTGGTAATCACTCCTTTTTTCGCACAGCGCCTCTTTGGTGGGGAGTTGATGCCAATACGCGGTGAGTTTCGGGCAAGTTCCGGGGGTGGATCGGGTGAAAGGAGCGATCATTATGGGGAAGTCCCGAAACAGATAACGCACGAGCTGGCAAGATACGCTGAGAACAGGTCGCAGCAGTTGAAAGGAAAGCGCGGTGCGGGTGCTGTTCCAGCATATGACACGCGGAAATTGGATGGCCGAAAAAGGCAATGTGGCGCAAGCAGCCCGTAGAAAGGGTGCTTCGGTGTCGAGGCGGTGCATGCCCAGCTCCCATCGGTCAGTGCCTCCCAAACAGTCAATCCAGGACGAGGGGGGCAAATATATACGCTACCTTGTCAAAGACGTCCACCACGCGTATTCCCCTTCCCATTCCCGCCTCTCTTTTCGCTGCCCTCCGCCGGTGTCTGCGTTGCACAGTTGATGAGTATGTCCCAAATCAAGATGTGAGCATGCCGCGTCTCAGGCCCGAGTTAAAGAAGGGACCAAGAAGGCTAATTCGGCTCATTTCATAGCATCGTTCGTCAGCCACCAAACCGCGATTTCCTCGAGGGTACGCGTGCTCTCCTATTTTCAACGGCATGTCGTAACTGACGAACCTTGGCAGGCTTCCCCGGTATACCACCAAATGCTCCAGAACGACCCAATGCAGCTCTTCGAGGGGTGAGCACACTGCCAGCAATCACCATCAAATGCTGATAAGCGCCTGCAGACGGTTGAGTTACGCGTACAGGGGGGCACTCCAGTCAAGGCGAAATGGGTTCAGATTGAACTGAAGAAGATTGAAACGTGAGTTGGCGTTGCTGTAGTGGCCTTGTGCGCAGCTGAGACATCAGCAGTCTCCTGCAGGGACAGGGCGAGCCTTACGTGGAAACAATTGGCCATGCTCCTAGGATATGGCAAGCCAATGGAGAGTACGAGAACTTGCAAGTTGTGAGAACATAAAGAGTCCAAGACATACCATAGGTGCTGATTTGAGCGACAGCGGGACTTTCCGTTCTATATTCAAATACCCATGAACGTACCACCAAGTATTGCATTAGAGAAGGGAAGTGGGATCCGTTATGAAATGGTTGCTAGTCTCTGCGTGAAAGGGAAGAAGTGTGTCCAATTCCCATCGAGTCCCCGCCCCGTGAAATATTCACAATTCACACAGAGGTATTCTCCGTAAGGACAAGAACAACGTAACATCCACTTCAGTACCCATTGTAATGGACAAGCACGAACTACACACGCTGTGGCCTGTGTACCACCGTCCACAGACAAGTACGGCAACGAACGACGGACTCAATCTCATTGTGACTCGAGATGCCTCTTGCTACGGACCAGGTGACAGTGTAACCGCACGCGTCGAGTTGCGGAGCGGACGTCTCAGCCCGTGTATTCTGCGAGCCTGGGAAATGACTCTGCGGGAACACGTAATCTTCCGTCCGGATCCTTCACAATTGACCCACTCCAAGCAGGCACCTGTGGCTGGTGGTCAGCAGTATCGACATAATGTGATTGCCGAGCAGAAGAAGTCACTCAGCAAAACGATCTACGAAGGTGTCACTGTGCAAGATGAGTTGGCTTGTCTGATACCGATACAGCACCGCACAGCTACTACCCAAGGACGACTTATTGAAGTGCAATTCACGTTGAGCGTAAAGGCTGTGATGGAAAGTGCCGGTAGCGTCGAAGTCATGATGCCTGTGTTGATGTCGCATTGGTCCAAGGAGATGAGCGAGAATTCCTTACGGTTCGTGCACGTTTTGAACATGCGTTGCAGCGCCTCATCCCAATCATCTGTAGCAAAATCGGTCCTGTTCCTCATTTGGGCATCCAATTTCCTCCCGTCCCAACGGCGGCTGCGCAGCCATCTCAGGGGTACAATCAGCCACAGAGCTACACCCAATCCCACTCGAACGGATCGATGCAGACACTGCCTCAAGAGGTGCAGCCAATGCGACCCCAGATCGCTAAGAATGAGTTGCCAAATCCGGATGATGTCGGACCCCCGTCGCCACCATACACCCCGCCTGAGATGGGATCGCATTTTACTTCTCAGCAAGCGAACGGTCGAACGGCGAACGGACGACCACGAGAATCGACCCTCAATAGCCGGAGTCGTACGCTCGCAGTTGTTAATATCGACCCGAATGAGAATGGTGCATCCCCTTCCCCAGCGGTATCGTCCGTCCCACCTTCTCAACCATACAAGGCGTCTTGGGAAAGTGCAGAGATAGAGAAGAAGCGGCTCAAGGAGGCGTACAGCCAAGAGCAAGGCCAGTCGTCCAGCAGCAGTCAACAACCGATTGTCACCACAACCCCGTCCACACCCGCCGTGAAGCCTAACTTCTCGTCGGCAGAGGACGAAAAGGAACGCTTGTACAGAAGGGCACAAGCACAGGCACGGCGTACACAGGACCTGGCAAGGAAGGAACAAGGTTTACCGCCAAGTGTAGGATCCCCATCCCTATCCGCAATCTCAAATCAGACTAGCGCTTCAGCATCAGCATCAGGCTCGACTAGTAACAGCAGCGCACTTCGAAGCCCAAAAGTGGCTCCAATTACCGCAGTCGCATCATCGGCCACACCTTTGACGCCACCAGCTACCTCAAGCAAGGCTCCCTCTATTCGTTCTGAGAGTGTCACGCCGGGAGCCTCGCCACCCCCTGGGTCGAATTGGGCTTCTGCTGAGGCAGAAAAGGAGCGATTGTACCGTATCGCACAGCGGAGGGCTCGTGAGACTCAAGCTCGTGTCGCCTCGGCTACTCCGGCTGGTGGCTCTGCGTCAAGTCCGACCCCCAGACAGTCGATAGTGCAAACCCCCGCAGCCAGTAGGCCCACTTCTACATTCAAGCTAAATAACCCGGATTCTCCGGAGGACGGGCCGATTCAATCGGGTTCTTCTGCGCTCACCCCAGCAAGAGCGGCGTCTGCGTCTCCCGCCCCTGCGCCGAGCATCACTCCTGGTGGAACATCAGCTGCAACCGCCGCTCAGGCGATGTATGCGCAAGCCATGGCAGCACGTCAATCACCCGCCTCTGGCTCGAGACAGTCTGTAGGATACACTGCTGCATCACCCCAACCCACTCATGGCCACACTCCGCGACCATCACAAGCGTCTTCTACAAGCTACTCACAAGGCTCGGGCTCTTCACTTCCCCCTGCCTATGCTACTGGCGGCTCCTCCGGAGCCGGTCCCGGATGGTCAAATGCCGAGGACGAGAAGGCCCAGCTCAGCCGGTATTATGAAGCGAAACATGCGGTTTCTCGCAAGGCTGAAGGTGGTGACATCGGCGAGCCCATGGGCGCGGGAGGAGGGTCGTCCTCTGCTTACATTCATGCACACTCCGCCAGCTCCCTGCCGCTGTCACAAATGACGTCCCCCGCATTGGCACCGCAGCCCATCCACCAGGCATCACCTTCTCCGGTGGGCCACTATGCATCATCCGCACCCACCCGGATGAATTCAGTTGCCTCTGTCCGCAAGGAACAAACGCCGTCGCCTGTTTACAACCGCACCCATCCCCAACACACGCCAACTCCGTCTGCGGGCTATGGAGCACCTCAGGACTATTTCACCCAACAGCGGCCCTACACGCCTCAGCAGACAGCTCCTGGGCCCTCAGCATTCTCTCCTGGATCTCGTGCTTCTGGCGTTCCACTGCCAGTAGACGAAAAGGAAAGGATGAAACTGTTCTTTGAGGCCCAAGATGCGGCAAGACGATATCAAGAAACCCAAGGCGCATCCGGGAGCGGTGGTAGTGGCATGAATAATTCCCCTCCTCACGCGGGTCCCATGGCCTCCTCGAGCTCTTACCCAAGCCCTCCTGTTACTGTAGGTCCCCCTGGATACGAGGATGCCCCGCCTGCAATCGACGGGGGATCCAGTCGATCCATGTCTGCATTAGAAGAGAAAGCTCGTTTGGCGCGTGAATATCAGCAGCAGCAACAGGTCGCTCAGGGACAGCTGTCACGCAACCCGTCTATCCAGTCTGTGCGGACTCCCGGCCCACCCCAGATGCCCCAATACGGCGCTCCACCCATGCTCAGCCCTTCTTATTCGAACAGTGGGCTGCCGTCCATCACCACCCAGTACGGCACTACTCCCCTCCAGAGGAATAACAGTTCTTACAAGTTCATTCCTTCTCCAATTGAGGAAGAGCCTTCTGGCCCTCCTCCGCCTCTCCTGCCTCGTCCTCCTCAGGCGTACATTGAGCAGACCATCCAAGAGGAGGCGCCGGCAGATGTTGCTGCAGAGCATGGGCGACCCGCGGTGGAAAAACAGCAGAGTTGGAAAAACCAGCCCCTGAACTTCCGACCCATGTCTCCTTTTAATGTCCCACTTCCAAACGCGCAGAACCAGCCTCTTGTTCAGGGTCATTGGGAACAGCCACCCCCGACCCAACAACAGTACGCGCAGCCGCAATACCAGCAGGCGCAGCCCCCGTACTATCGCTGAGTGAATATGTTAGGATACGATATACGACCCTACTTTCTTGTTTATATGCATGAATAGGTATCCTTGGATGTAACTTAATGATAATGAACACCATATACCCTCAATGAGCCGTATACATGCAGCAGCACCACAAATAAGCGCTTACGTATGCGCACCTGATATCCGGCACTGCCACTCCAGACCATATTGTTGCATTCGATTCGACGCCACTGGGACTTCCCTCTACTCATCTACATTGCCATCTCTACGTATCTTTGTTCTACGTTCCATTTTCTTTCCTTTTGACATCAGATGTCAACAATACCAAATAACCTCCAAGTTGCTCGCCTCAGGCCGGAGCAGTCGAGAGTTGCCAAGCAGAATGTCCCCGCTTTCCTAAACAAGCTAGCTACGTGCGCACAAGTCCACGCGCCAGTCATGTGTACCCACTAATAGTGTTGTTCAGGATGGTGAGCGACTCAGAGACAGATGATCTTATTCGATGGTCAGATGATGGGGAGTCATTCTTTGGTATGTATCTCTTTGTTTTCTCTGTGAGGACCACCGTTCACCGCTAGCTGCAGTCCCAAATCACGAGCGCTTCGGACGTGAACTATTACCTAAATTCTTTAAACATGGCAACTTCTCTTCGTTTGTTCGCCAGCTCAACATGTATGGGTTTCACAAGGTACCACATCTACAACAAGGCGTTCTCAAGAATGAAACGGAGAACGAGCTATGGCAGTTCAGCAACCCCAACTTCAAGCGCAACTTCCCCGACCTTCTGCCACTAATTGCAAGAAAGAAGGGAACACTGAACATAGAGGAGAGAGATGAAAACGGCAACATCATTCCTGGAGCCGATGGGATACGAACTAGTGCCGGTCCACTGGATCTCCACGCTATCGCCAATGGCATCACGTCGATCCGGAGACACCAGAACGCGATCTCGAACGAGCTGAAAGAGCTCCAGAACTCCAACAGCGCTTTGTGGCAGGAAGCATTGGCGGCTCGCGAACGCCATCAGCAGCACCAGGAGACCATCAATAAAATACTTCGCTTCTTGGCGGGGGTGTTCGGCCCAAACGCCGGCATGGGTATGAATGGCTCCCCGACGTCGCCAACTGCGCCCGGCGCTCATCGTGACAAGGACACAGAGGATGTACCGGTTCTTCCAAGAAAAAGGCAGCGGCTGATGCTAGAGGGACGTTCGCCAAGTACGAAACCAAAGGGTAAGCGGAAAGCCCCAACCGAGGAGGACGAAGAGAGCAGTTCCCCTGTGTCGCCTACCGCAACAGACGCCCACAGGTTCACCGAGGTCACGCCGTCTGAATCCAATGCAACACCCAAACCAGAGGCTGCGGAAGCAACTCCTACCTTGACCACAGCTCCGCCGTTGAATATCAAGCGCAGTCCCAGCGATCAGGTTTTCTCGCCTTCGTTACTCAGTCGCAGTCGGACTCCCATCGCCCCCACCGCAAGCAGCACCAACCAGCCAGATCACAACCATGTTTTTAACGCAACTCTCCAAGCTCTGCTCAACTCCCCAAATAGCGCCCATCGTCTGCTTGCTTCTCTTGCTGGTATGCCACAAGGTGGTGCCTTTCCTCCAGGTGTGCAAGTTCCTCCTGCAGTCGATCAACAACAGGCACAATTACAGCCCTTCATGCCGTATCCCGGTCAACCAGGAGTTGTGCCACCATATCCGTTCCCGTTCCCCGGTCAGAACATCGACTTCAGCATGCTACCTCCTATACCGCCCACGTACCCCCCTGGTACTCAGCCATATCCTTCCGTACCAGGTTCAGGAGCGGCCTCAGCGCCAAATACATCAAACACTGTCTACCAGCCTACTGCACAGGACACCCAGCATGCCCAGATGCTCCAATCTGTTGCACAAAATAGTGCGGGTCTCCAGCGAGCCTACAAGGACACAGAGGCAATCGAGGCTGACGTGGACGCCCTGCAAGAAAGCATCAATAGCCTGATCAATAGCCTCGGAATTGACCCCAACACAATCCAAGTTCCTACCCAGGAAGAGCAGCCTCCCGCGCATGTGGATGAAACGACGCAGGCACAGAATGGTATCACGAACGAGGGTCCTGAACAACCTGATTTCGATATCGAGGCATTCTTGAACTCACTTGACGCAAACACAAGCGGTGCAATATCCGCGAATACACCCCAGCATTACGATGCCTTCTTTGATGAGCTTTCAAGCCAAGGTACTTCGAGTCCGAAGGACTGGGCTGGAGCAGCTGGTCCTGGAATGGTGGATATCCCGCCTCTACCCACCGTAAACGCGACTTCTCCTACACCCACGAGTAATGCTCCACGACCACCCGCAAAGAAGAGGAAAACCGGAAAATGATGTAGCATTTCAAAATTACACAAGGAGCAGGCACGACACCATAGGAACTTGTAGTGATACGGACTAGATTTCTTTGCTGTATAAATAATCGGGCTCTTCCCAGCGTGTACATCATATGTGATTACGGGTAATGACGATCATCCATGTACGACTCCAAGATGTGCGTAACTCTGTCTTATTGAATTTGCCTCAGTATCGAATACACAATAAGCGCCCGTGATTTTCAGGATTCGAACGTACCCTCGATCCAGTTGCTGCAGTTTCCGTCACCCCAGCCTTGTGCAAAATTCTCCTAGTAGACATGAGCAGGCTCGCATCACTGCATGGACCATCAACTCCTTCTTCTTCCCCAGTTTCCCCTCCATCCTCATCGTCTCCACTAGCCCGCAGAACTCCAAAGCGAAATGTATCGCGCGGATCACCCGTACCCGATTCACCACAGGCAGCGCCGATAGAATCGCCGTTCCATAGGAAGCTCCGCTCATCATTACGGGATATCGCAGGTGCAATAGAAGGGTGGGATGAGATGGTATTGGGAGAAGGGCTGCGCGCCGTGAAAGGAGTAGTGGACAACGGAACTGCGCTCGAGTGCGTCGTCTTCTGCATCAAGCCATCCCCGGGACTAACCAGTGTTCAGCAATGCTCTCGCTTCGAATCCAAATCACAGATCCTTCATTGCGACGCCGAGAATCCAAGCCATTAATGCACATTTGAAAACGTTAAATGCCCTCTGCTGGAGGCTTGAGAAGCAATTTCGACTACTGACAATGAGCGTTGACGCCCTGGAGTCCCTCATCATGTCCACTGCAGCCGCTCGTGGGCCCCTTTTTCTGCGTACACCAGTTTGGATAAGCTGGACACCGGAGCACTTTCTCAATGCGCTTCTGTCGTTACCACGGCGCTACCATCAGTCGCTCATCACGATATCTCAATGCGTCGAGAAGCTCAAGGACCCCGATATATCGTGGGATGAGGGAAAGGATGCTGTTCAAACATGGGCAGATCAGAGAGAGATTCGAGCGAAAGCAGATGAACTGGATTGGACGGAGATAGAAGAAATATTTGTGGTTGAAGTGCGGGGATGGGCCGATGGTTAAAGGCCATAGAATGCATATTGTTATTCATACATAGTCGTAAGTCATCGTTACATTATAACCCTATTGCAACAAGCTTATTCATATTGTACGGCGCGCTCCAGTGTACAGATTTTGTTGTCCATGGTCAGTCAAAGCGGCTCGAATGGAATCTGGGGCTTCTCGAGCCTAACCTTGTGCACCAATCTTTGATCGTCGCCTCAAGCTCGGACAGTTCTTTGAAGATGTCCCACTCGCGTTTGACCCAACTGCCTCTGATGACGACTGCATCCTCCTCTTCGTTCAGGATCCAGTATCCGTTGGCTGGCACGCCCCATTCTTTCCAAAAGTCCAGGAAGACCTCGAGGCGTCTGTCCATCAGTCGGAGCAGCGGGAGCGTCTGTCCAATGTACGCGATAGGGAGTTGCTCTTCCAACGCTGCGAGGGTTCTGATGTAGTTCTGTTCCTTGGTTGGCTTGCGGAAAGGCTTGGGGATAGGCGAACGACGTTTACGGCGAAACACACGATTGAAGCTTGACCCAGCCCCAGCCATTACCGACCTGACGCGTCGGGATGGGCTTGATACGTAGCCGGATTCGGACTTCGAGGGACTGGACCTCGAATTGTGACGAGGGGGAGAACTAGACAGAAGGCTCTCCATAACGGTTGGATCGGACGGATTGAACAAGTGTCCGCTGCTGTCCGAGCCGGTGTCTGATTTGAAAGCGCTGGGCGGATGATCGATTTCATCGCTGACCCGCATGGCCTCTTTCTCAGGGCTTGTCGAGGGACTGTGGTCCATTTTCTCAAAGAAGCGCTTCAACTGCCAGACTGCGGCCCTGGCGCTCTCTATTCCTCTCAACACATCGTCGACCCTCGCTGTTTGCATGACGTCTTGCACCAGCAAAGTCGTCTTCTCCTCGCGATTGTCGCCCCGTCCAGAAACAAACGTTGTATATTGGCCAACGCGGATGACACGGACTAGCTTCTGCATGTGTCAGTACAGAACCATTGTCGCCCACCGAACATCACGCATTTGTTGTTCAAGTGCTATCGCGCTCTGCACGGCTTCTGGAGTAGTGACAGTGAATGACGCCGCGATTTCTTCTATGAACTCTTGAGTACTTTGTGTGACGTTTGATTGGAGGAAGGTGATGTGAGCCGTTAGCAGAGACATGTCGTTGAATACAAGTGTCGACAAGAGCTTGATGAGCCGTACTCCAGATGGGATCCGATCGGCAGCCATGCTGACACTCGGGGGAGAGGATGTCCACTCTCTCATGCTATCCATGGTAAAAGTTGGAAGAACATGAAGGTAAAATTGCGCGGTTAAAAAGTGAACGTGTTATATACAGTTATCTTCTTGCCCCTTTTCTTCACTCTGCCACCAGGTTGACAGCCGCGTCTTTTTTTGTTTTGTTTGACTGGCCACACCCTTTTTAAATAAAAGGGTGGTGACGGATACCAGACGTAATGGCCTATTAGACCTATCAAACCCAGCATGCCTTAATCCTATAGACTTGTGAGTGGATGAAACCAGTAGTGCCTTCAAGCAGGGTTGAAGTAGTTCTATCTCCAATGAGGGACTCATTGCCGGGAATATTGCAGACGGAGTTTATGTGGTATGTGGAGGATGGGGATGATGTATGACTAGAATGTAAACAAAATCTTCTTCTGCCCATGGATGGAAGTTCAACCACACATTGTGCGACCACAAAATTTAATGACTAAGCTAAGAACGAGCCATTGAGAAACCACAGGGCAACGCAATGTTTGGAAGCTCAGGCCGCGCCTTCACGGCAATACGCATGCACACCCCGGAAGTCCTTAGACACCGAACAGGTTGTAGAACCATAATCATACACTGGCCACAGTCACGGTACAAAACTAGAACTTATAGTCCCTCTCTTTGCCCTTATCCCTCGTCCTCTCCCTATCTCGCTCCATCTTCTGGCGCTTCTTCGCCATCTCCCGCGCGACCATATCCGAGAAGTCCTCCTTGCTCCCTGGAACACCTGCGGAGCCACGCAAGGCAGAGTCGTACCGTGAACGAAGTTGCTCGGTGGACATGCCCTCGAGGTCCGCTTCGGAGAGAGAGACCTCCACATCGCCGGCTTTTCGCTAGAACTCAATGTTAGCAAATTTGATCCATCAATCTACAGCGCAGCGTAAAACACGTACCTTTGTGCCGCGTTCTTCTCCAAGCACAGGCACGCTCGGCCCTGCGATACCACTAACATCGTAGCCCCTTTCGCTACCCACCAGTCCACGGATGCTCGTCTGCCTTTCTGGTACGACCTGGTAGAGTGACTTGGGCCCGCTGTCCCGGTCATCATATGTCGGCCTTGCATTTTTGCGGAGCTCAATATAGTCTGGTGTCTCAAGCCCGCCAGGCACGGTCGAGACAACAGACTGCATGCCAGATGGTGTCTGCAAGCCTGACGGTGTTTGCAGCCCAGACTCAGGGACAACAGACTCCTCTTCTTCTTCCTCTTCCTCTTTTTCTTCCTCCTCCTCCTCTTCCTCCTCCTCAAACTCTAGCTCTCCCCAGGTCTGGCGATCGATAGGTTCGCCCATCTCCTCCTGGTTAGCTTTCGGCAACACGCCGAAGACGTCTCCATACAGCGGGCGGTTGTATTCGTCCAAGGGTGGCTTGCCCCATCCACCGGGGTGGAAGCCCCACTGTGCGCCGTCAGGGATGGGCGCGTTTAGGCCGGCAACACGGAGCGTCGGATAGCTTGGAGGAGGACCAAACCGTTGCATGCTGATAAGCCAAGGAGGGGGAGCGAGAGGAGGGATAGAGAGCGCTTCGATCAGCTCGGGGGAGAGCTCGCCAGGTCGCTTTTCCTTCAGCGAAGTTTCGAACTCTTTGCCTTCGTAGTACCTGTCCGTCTCATGAGTCATGACTTTACCTAGGAGATAGACGATGGAGGGACGCACAACTCCCCAAACCCGGTCATGGGTGGCTTTGTCTGGAACTTGAAGAACGCGTCGTGCAGTTTCTGGTAGTCGATGTCCACCTTTCCCATCTTGGGCTGCACGCGCTCCCTCGTCTTCGCTTTAAGTGACATCCCCGCCTCCTTCTCCTTGATCGCGTCTCTCATCGTCGCAATCCCCGTGTCAGCAATAAACGCCGGCAGCTGGAAAGGCGGCTTCTCAATGCCTCTCTTTCCCTGGAGGTAGTCCCTTTTCGCACTCCAGTGCAGCGGGATGGGGATAGTATTCCTGTAGCTCTTGAGGTGTAGAAGCATACGAGGGTCAGCAGCGTTTGTATCCCACCACTCGACAACCTCTGGTTTTTTCACCAACTGCTTGAGCTCAGCAACGGACAGCCGCTGCTCGGCCCTTTTCTTCTTTTTCGACAATGGTTTCTCTTGATCTCCATCCTCACCCTCGGAATCCGCATCAGCCTCCTCTTCGTCAGAGTATATTACCTCCCCCTTTCCCAGATCGTTCGACTCGTTCTACACGGTGGAACAGCTTAATCAGCACTAACTCACTAAGAAGTAAAGAAGATAAACGCACCTTGACCTCCTCCTCCGGAGCTTGGAAACGCGCAAAAACCTGCTGGAACGCCTCTGTCCCTCCTCCCATCGGGATCAACGGCTCAGCGACGTACTCCACGTTTGCCTCCTCCTGGCTAGGAACATTCTCGACATCCGTCTCCGCCTCAGTATCGGTTCCCTACGCATTCCAGGTCAACATCATCTTTCTACCGCGTGAGAAGGCAGGACATACGGAGATAGCCACACTTCCTGCGCGCTCCTTCTTCTGCTTCTGCTTTGCCCGCCGGAGGGCGTTTTTACTCTTGAAATGCGTCTTGCCATTTGGCTTTCCACTCGCGTCCGCGTGTCCGTTCACGGTAGGCACAGGCTCAGGTGCTGATCCTGCGGCGACGTCGGGTGCGGCCATGCTGCCTTAGAAGTGAAGTGGACGTGGACAGGTCGGACGACGGACAACTGACAAAGGGAATGACTTGAGCAATGGGCAAATTTGATCCCGTGCATTCGGACATAAGGCTGGCCCATAACGCCGATCTTGTGAGAAGAGTACTGAAGGTTAGTTAGGAGAGTGTCTTCAAAGAGAACGTTTGCCCAATTTGGCAGGTTTCTTCTCACCGATTTATCCATTATGGGAGGTGTAAACGAACTAAAAGGAGCAAGATGGGCTATAAGAGAGGGGGACAATTTGAGCATACAGGCACACCAGACTTCACATCTTAACGTAATGTGAGATGATATTTAACATGCAATGATTACAGTACAAATGCAACCCTTACCGTGTACATAAGATCTTGAAACCGCTTCCGGAGTTCCACACATTATTTTGCATTCTCTGCTCCGATGCATGTCCAATCGGTAGGCGACACTGACTAGGACACATGATGTCCTTATAGGACATCACATCTCCTGTTCTATTCCATGTATGGCCAGGATGAAGATATTAACCAAGGCTCAATGCTGGTGCCGCGTTACTTCGTAGCCGATAAGAGCTGGTCAGCTGCCGAAAGCCTAGCGCAGCATGTCCGAGTCTCGCTGACATGCCGTGATCGCCTCGCAGGTTGTTAAACACAAGAGAGAGTGGTTGTAGTGGGGGAGCGGCGGTGAGACAGTTTCTCAGTGGCTATGATGACATCATCATGTCAATGGTATGTCCACGGCGTGGTTGGTCAAGATGGTGGTTGCAGGAGTGCTGGTCAACCGGCGTTGATAGCGGTGTTGAAACGAGAGGGATGAGATGAATAATGTCATAGAGTTCTGGTCCGTCGAGTTGAAATGTGTTGCGAGGAAGCGAAACATGCTTTGCGGAAGCAATCACGCGTGGTCTGGCATGCGGAAAACGGAGATGGACTCTGATTGGGTGGTCCGACTCTCCGACACTCTCTTCCCAAGGGGCCGCCCTGCACGCTGGTGGACAACCCTGTGCCTTCATTCCCCCCCATCACGGCGCCTCCATCCTTCATCCACAGCCCTCTTTGCATTCTCCATCACCGTCCTCTTTAACGTCAACATCGCCCTCTCCTCTTCTCCATCTTGCTTCCTCGTCGTCACATCCTCAGGCAGTGCTCAATACCAACAAGCGAACTGTACTGTGGGAAAAGTACTAGACAGCAAACATGGTATCCAACCTTCCGCCCTTCGGCTCGTTCTCAACCCTCTGCTATGCCGTCCCTTCCTACCCAGTCTGCAACCTCTTCTTCCACCAGCTGCTTGGGCCACGAAATAGTCCACAGACTATCTTCCCAGGGCAGGATACGAGCAATGCAGTCAACCTCGCAAACCTTGTTTCCGCTGCTCCCGTAGGAGTGCGTCTCTCACTTTCCACCTCCCTGCTGGCACGCTGATCCCACCCATCGCTGGCAGATCAACCCTGAGTGCGGGATCCCGCGGATGCACACCGGTTCCTCCCTGGGTAATATCGCCAACATCATTGCCTGCGGCCTGTCCATCATCGCCACTGCCATGCTCATCCTCGCTACGGGCCGAAGAAAGGCCGCGGTGGGGCGCGTCGAGCTGCGAACGTTCCTGTTCACCTACCTCCTCACCTGCATCTTCCAGCTTCTCACCACGGGCAGTTTCTTGGAGCAGGGCAGCATGGCGCTGGCGATCATAACCTCTATCCATCTGGGGCTTGTCGTTATGTTGTTCTGGCAATTGCTTTGGAATGCACTCGTTGCGACCCAGTGGGTTGAAGATGGTACTATGAGCAGTCTGGTCGTACGTTTGCCTGATGTTATTCATACCTCAGCTCACCTTGACCTTCCTCTCTTAGCCCTTCACCCTCTTCTCTATCTGTTTCTTCGTTGCAGCACTCTATATCTGCCTGGACACCGCATTTGGGTTCACCCTCATCTGGCAACCCAACAACCCGACTGACCTCGCCAATCTGGAGAACATAACTCTTTTCGTTTTCCTTGACATATGGCCTCCCGCCGCAGCCTTTATATTCTTCGTTGTCATGGCCTGTATCGTCATGTGCATCCTGCGGGAAGTGAAGCCCGTGCTCATGTACCTTCTCACTGCCGTGCTCTTCGTTCTCAGCCAACTGGCCTACTTCCTCCTCAATAGGATCATATGCGAGCGCACCAGCGCAAAGATTGACGGGAGCTTTGTGGCCACTATTTTAGAGACGCTGGCCGTATATGCGCTCTGGGGTGCATGGCGGTCAATAACAGAAGGTGGGATTCTGTCATCCCTCTTCACGTAATCTTCTGACTTTCATATCCAGATTCCTGGGAAGAACCGTGGTACGACTAATCCGCGTGCCGTTTACCCTTCAACCGTGTATATCTATGTCATCCTTACCCCCCCACGACCCCAAAACGACCAGACGAACGCACGCACGCCCTTACGTCCTCCTCCCTACCCCCTTCGACGCCTTTCCCCTTCCCGCTTTCTGCTATTTATTCCGGTGCTACCCGATATCCCGACTCAGTCCTGGTTGAATCACCCGAAGAATAGATCAAAGATGCCACTTCGGCGAGAAGAGATGATCTGGAAGCTCGATCACCCGTTGTCCCAGTACAGCTGCGGCTCCCTAGTCCACAGCCTACAAATAGTTCACGTTTCCCTTTACCCTTCTTCCATGTGCACACCTATTTCTTCCTCCCATCGTTTGTACCCCAGCGCTGCATTTCACCACAGTCTCTGGCGGGTGTTTGTCTCTCTCTTCTGTCGTTGTTTGATACTTGGTGCCCATTGATCGAACTGGGTGGCGCTTGTCTTGTAGTTAGTCTCTAATAGTGGGTTTTACGTATGCAGAAATACAGACAACATCAAAACGACGTGTGAAAACTATACATGGAACTACGATGGTTTGATATCGCTGGCTCAGCACAGCCACCCAGATGAAAAAAGAACACCACTCAGAAATGCCAGCGTTACGAATGAAAGAATAAACCTCCTGCGAGGATCGAACTCGCAATCTTCTCCTTGTACCAAGGTAGGAAGGAGACGCCGTAACCATTTGGCCAAGGAGGCTTTAACAACCTCAGCGCACTTTTCAAAGCTCATATCATAACATACATTCCCATTGTCGTGAGCGTACGAGGGCCCTGAACTGTCCAGGGCAAGTTATGAGTGGGCTCCGCACCTGAAGATCGAACAGCCGATCCAGTCAGCAACTGCACAACAAGATCGGTCGTTCGGCCGCCGATTCCTTCCCATCATTTCCGATAGAAGATCTGACAGGCGCCCACGATAGTGGAATCCCGAGGTTTATTCATTTTCTGGTTTTTGTGGCGGACGGGTATTATGGCAGAGAAGCGCGGGATGACGCCAGGGCTGTATTCAGTTTTGCCGGTCGTTCGGTTGTTCGGGGGAGATCCGGAAAAGTCTGCGCCTCAGGAACGGACGGTGTTTCGACGAAGATCGATGATGTGCCACTAGCGTCGTCGAACGGCACGTCTGTTGGTCTTGGAGCCGTAATGCATAATCAGATGCTGAGGATAGCTGCGGCCGAAAACAAGAGTTGCTTGGATCGAATTATTGGTGGGTGCTGCGTGGGTGCTATCCGGAGTCCGGGAAAATGGCAAAAGGAGGCGATGTTAGACCCTGCACCGCGTTTCTTCCTTTGGGGCAGATTCTTTTAATCCAGACCAACAAGGGGACGCGCCGGCCGTGGCTCGGGAATGGAAACGAACTGCGAATAACGCGCCGTTGCTGGGCGCTATGCTCTGAGCCCAGTCCCCAGCAGGAGCGAATAATTAATGGCCTGCACATAGGAGAGCAAGGCTGTGTTGCATGGTTTACCGCCCGCGATACAAATGCGATAATTGTCCCATGACAAGAGAGAATGAATGCGGAATGGAGAGTGGCGAGAGAAGTAACGAGATGGTGGTACAAGTATGGCCGAGTCAAATGACGAGACCGAACCTCGCACAGATTCTGCCTCACCCCGGCGGCCCCCAACGTTGCTAGGGCATATATACGCCGATCACCCGCGCCTACAGCCTTTCCCTTCTTTCTCTATCCGCGCAACGCCCACCTTCCTTCCCCCCTGCCCTTCGTCTATTACGACAGTCCACTCCCTCATCTGTAACTACACACGATGTTCAGCCTCCTCCGTCTAGTAGGGCTCGGTCAGTCCCTGGCACTCCTTTCGTGTCGGAACACGCGCTGATGACGCGCTCTTGCGCCCAGGCATCGTCGCCTTCCTCTCCATTATCGTCCTGGGTATATCTGCCAACGTCAACTTCGGTCTGGGTATCGCAACCGCCGTCCTTACAATCATTTCTGTCATTCCTGTGTATGACGTGCTCCCCTACTGCGCAGCCGCATTCTGATGTTCTCCGCAGTCTCGCAATCGACTTCTTCCGCAAGGGCGTGTTCACATCATGGACGTCTGTTGAGCTCGGTTTGGTTGGCCTGCTATGGGTTCTCTGGCTCGGTTCGCTCTCTTATCGTCCGCAATCTATCACTTGCTGACTGCGCACAGCTACCGGTGCTGACGCGGCTTCGCTCGCCTCTGCAGGCTGCGATGCTTTTTGCGAGGGCTTCTTCTGCTGTGCGCCCTCTCATTCCCCTTGTAATTTCTTCCTAACACCCCAACAGACGGTTACAGTGCCAGTACGTGCTCGCAAGTACGCGCCATCGCCGCGTTCGGCTTCATCGGTTTCTTCATCCTCCTCGCCCTCTGGGTTTGGACGCTCGTCATCGGGGTCCGCGCACACAACGTCGGCGACACACGTATCTGGATGACCCCCGCATACGAGTACTCTCCGGGACCGAAAATGTACCCAGGGGGGGCCCAGATGACGTCGACGATGCCAAACTACAACCCGCAGGTGTAGGAGGCCTCTGCTGAAACGGCATGATACCCGTATATATGCACAACTTATTTCGTACAATGCAGTAGATGGACGGTTTCTTGCTGGTTGGGTACTTATTCTCGCACTCTAAATCTCGCCGGCTTATGTGCTACGAACTAATGAAAACGGGTTTCTGTTCGCATACCATCGTCTGTCGTTGAACCGCACGAAGATAATGCGCATATATGTCGTTTTTGGTCAACCCCTATTGAAAGAAATTTCGGTTCAGCGGATCCCTTGACTTACGTGGGCTCTCGTAAAAGAGCCACGTGCCCTTCACCAGCGGCGAGCATGTGGACCGTCACCACCTTCCTTTGTCCTCAACCAGCACACCTTCCGTTCCTGTCTGAAAAGTACTATGAATATTTCTCATCTGGGACTGTGCTCATCAAGCCTCAGTGCAGTGTTTGGGTTTGTAGGATGTCGGGTATCAAAAGCTGGTTGAAAACCGGATCTTCATGCTTCTTCCTGATCAGCAGCTTCAAGTCCTTGGATGCCATCGCATCGGATGACCGAGAGAGTCGCACCTTTAGGGCTATCCACTCAGCATCGCCATCGCTTCTCACTAACCCCCAGGGGGCCGCTCTATCCCCTATGCAGGAACAATATCGGATGATGGTCAAGGTTATGCTTGTTGTATGCGCATACATGCAGCGGCCATTGGCAGTACTAGTGACACTAAACGCTTCTTCTACTTTTTTCTTTTATCAGAGGAAGGAGCTCAACTTGCTTGCCTTGGGATTATCCAATCGCTTTGCTATATTCCTGGCTATCTTCATCTTAATGTGCACTATGGAATATCGGTTCCTGCACTTGGTTCTGGGCACCATCACACCAACAGCTCCCGCTATCTTCTTCGACGCCGCATTAATTCCGAGATTTCTGCAGCGGCGCGCTATCGAGATCAACTTGGATCACGGGGCTAAGGGAAGAGATTTTTCTATAAATGAGGCGGAGGGGAACCCTCACTCGCACCTCGTCTTCTCTTCTTCCCACCCACCCCTCTTGGTTTCTTGCTCTCTGCTCTCAACCACAAGGACTTCTTCATTCTCCTGATTCCGCCTCTGGTTGGTGGTTAACAATGGCTTCTCGCCATTGTATCCCTCTGCATCGAAGTAGAGCTTCGACGTACATATGTTCAGCTCTGCATATGCATGTGGTGCTCTCATCCTGGTCTACTTGTCCTTTCTCGTTCGTCGTGATGGTGTACTTTCGCAGCACACCCTCTGCTTCGAGGACTACTAGACGACCTCGCCAGAGCGACCACTGCCATACAGCATTCACCACCAGTTGCTGGCCCAAGGACGGGCTTGATAATGTTCTACCTGGTGTTGTCTTTCCTAGTCTGAGCGGGTGTAAAGTCATCAGCACCATGCATTGCGTTGCTCCGCCCTCATCTCGGTCAAATCCTGATCGATGCTCTGGGCTTTATTTGATGCAATGGGGATGGTGCTCATACATATCTAACCTACCTCCTCTTGTGCATATTTCTTGCAACCTTGTGGCCAAGTGATCTGGTGCAATTTTCTCATGCGCTCTCTCAGTCATTGCATGCAGCATCGCTCTGACCAGTCTGGACTACTCCGAGCCAATCGCTGCTTGTGAGAGGCCGAAACTCCCTTGGAACAATGCCATCGAACTGGTGGCGTGTAACTACTGTACTCTACACCTCCCAATGAGGCGTCAGGAGAAGGTCCGCTGGAGGGGGAGTCGACTGTAGTGGCTAGTACTTCGCAGTAGTAGATTTGAAGTATGACCGAGGCCGAATCGAAGGTAGACTCTGAGGGTATAGCAACACTGAGGTCGATTCGAGAATCCGATATGCGTTTCGAGTTAAGACGCGGGCGATCCGAAGAGTGTCAGGACGAGAGGAGTCGGTGCAAGAACTAGAAGGGATAAGAAGGAGTGTGTTGTTCTAATGTTGAGTCTGAGAATCGAGAATCGGAACGAGTTAGATGGGGAAGTGAGTCTAGAGTAAAGCAGTAGTTATTAGGTGTAAGTTAAATATCACCTGACTTGAACGAGTGAGAGTAGAGAGTAAGTGGGAGAGAGGAGTCCGAGTATCCCTATCCGAAGTACCCGAATCCTCCTATATACGTTTGGAGAGGTTCGGACCTTCAGACTACTACTAATCTATACCTACTCTATATTACCTAATGCTATGTCTAGGGTCCACTTCCTGCTTCCAATAGTCTGGTGTAGACAACACACCTTACTTTTAAAAAATTACATTGAAGTGCACATACATCTACAAGTGTACATAAGCCAACAGAGCATACTGCTTAAAAACCACTGTTTACCTATGAAGCATGTTCTGAGTGAGGGAGCTGAGAAATAGGTGAGTGATATCAGGCATGATCATGTTGTCTGCTGACTCCAGATAGCAAAGTAGGGTTGAAATGCTTGGGGATGTATGCACTACAGCTAGAGCCTGTGGAAGAGGGAGAGGATTGAGATGAACAAGCAGAAGTGGGCAAGCAGGGTTCCGTGATGTTGAGGAGTGATGTTTGATACACCAAGTCATGGTGCTCCATAGGCCTGATAGCATTGACCATGATGCTGCCAGTAAAGTTGTCAGGGTATATGCATGCATATATGGACTTTGGCTTACCTCCAGCCAGATTCAGAGACAGTGCAGGTGAAGCTCTCAATCCTGATAAGCAAATGAAGCTTTACATTGGGGCTCAACTGCTCCATTGACCAAAGAAGTGAAGTGAGGGATGGATAGAGTGTGATGGTGATGTAGTTGTCACTGTCACCAACATTGAGATGGCTGTCTTATTAGTGTTTTTCATTAGAGGCATG